AATTTCCCATACCATAGATCCCTTTATAACTATTTCAGAGAATTTCCCATACCATAGATCCCTTTATAACTATTTTAGAGAATTTCCCATACCATAGATCCCTTTATAACTGTTTTAAGAGAATTTCCCGTACTATATATCCCTTTATAACTGTTACAGTGGCTTGTGATAAGTATGAAGTTCTTATAAACTTGTCATATGTCTGAATGAGGCAATGTGTAACCTCAGGACACCAGAATAATGTCAGGAAATCTTACTTTGAAGAATTTATTACAAGCCTGATGTTTTTTTTTACTGTGATTCTAGTCTCCAGGGCTTATAATAACAGGAAGCTGGACTAGTATATATTTTTTATGCTGTTAAAAACCCGGAGTAGATGATAACATAGTTGAAAAAACATACTTTGTTATTATGTTGGTAGGGGTGTCAGTTCAAGGTCACAGGATGGCCTCGCAGTATTCACGAAAGCAACAAACAACGAAGGTTGACTGTGCTACTTCCTGGATCTAGATTTCTGGAATCTTGTGCTCACACGTTAATCATGATCAAAATAATATGCAAGATATTTGCAGTGTTTAATGTATTTTGCCCTAAAAAAGGTATTTGCTTTATCTTATATACTGTAGTAGATAGAGTATCTTCCACAGTTTTATTCTGTTTATATTGTAACAAATAATTTTCGATTTCTTGATATTCGATCAGTGGAACTTAAACTTTAAAGCAATCAAAATATCAGTATAATAAGTTCTTGGAAAAATCCATTAGACGCTAAAACTAAATAAATCTTGTTTTTCTTTGTTCAAGAGATTATAATTTTATTCGCATGTGCTGACTTTTCTCAAAGTGCTGTTTATTATAAGGACATGACGAGTAATATTGTTGTAAAAGCAACTTACAGGTTAACAGGTTAATTAAGTAAGAACAAATGTGTATTCAGTCCAAATGTGAAAGATGTTTTTATGGAATGTATTAAAAACGAAAACGTAATTGAAATTTCGTTCAGTCTTTATCGTGCATAGTGTGAAACCTTTACCTATTGTATTTTCAGCCTCAGCACCCTGAAAGGGTGGGTATTCTAGAGGTTTAACATAGTGAACTTAATAATGACTTGTCTCTCTGCTGAGGTCTTCTTCAAGCTAAAGATACAGAAGCGTCATACCACTCAACAAAGCATGAGCAATTCATCACAAATTTCAGCCCAACGATACATAAGCTGCTTAAAACAGGACGAATGTTATAAAAGCGGAACTGACAAGTGAAAACCCTTTTTTTTTCTCCTCCTCCTCCTATAATCAAAGTTTATCTATACCTACAGAGCTGCAGATTGTTAATCAGGAAACGCGTTTTTTCTCCTCCTACAATTACAGTTTATCTATACCTACAGAGCTGCAGATTGTTATCCAGGAAACGCGTTTTTACTCCTCCTACAATTACAGTTTATCTACACCTACAGAGCTGCAGATTGTTGCCTGGGAAACGCATTTTTGTTTTCTCCTCCTACAATTACAGTTTATCTACACCTACAGAGCTGCAGATTGTTACCTGGGAAACGCGTTTTTTCTCTCCTACAATTACAGTTTATCTATATACAGTGCTGCAGATTGTTACCAACAATGATTTTCGACTTCGCTATTATGAGGTTTAGCACAAATTATTGGAAACTTTCTTCTGCTAGGTGTTTGTATGTTATGCAGTGTAGCTAGCTAATTAAATACTTAGCACGTAATTACTTTACCAAAAATTATACCGAAATTAACGTATACCATGGTATCATGATCAATAGTAGCACCGAAACTTTGTAGTGTCAAGATGAAATATACAAAACATTTCGTGAAAATAAATTGATTTGATGTATAGTTCTCGGAATCTCTGGTTCGAACATATTTTTTGTATATCCTAATTTATAGTGCTAAGATGAAATACACACAAAGTATCATAAAAATTAAATAATTTCTATTTACAGTTGTTGAAATCTGTGGTTTGGTTATTTAATTATAATAAAATGTTAGATAGCATTAAACATTGAGACGTTACTCAACATTTTATCCTCTCAGTGCGCCCCCCTCCCAACAGCACAGCGGCGTGTCTACGGACTTATACCGCTAGAAACCGGGTTTCGATACCCGTGGTGGACAGAGCACAGATAGCCCATTGTGTAGCTTTGTGGTTAACTACAAACAAACGATCAGTGACATAGGCCCGGCATGGGCAGGTGGTTAGGGCGCTCGACTCGCAATCTGCGGGTCGCGGGTTCGAATCCCCGTCCCACCAAACATGCTCGCCCTTTCAGCCGTGGAGGCGTTATAATGTGACGGTAAATCCCACTATTCGTTGGTAAAATAATAAATATTGAACGGCTAGCGCAGATAGCCCTCGTGTAGAATAGTAGGATTGACTGACACATTATAACGCCCCCACGGCTGAAAGGGCGAACATGTTTGGTGTGACGGGGATTCGAACCCGCGACTCTCGGATTGGGAGTCGAGCGCCCCAATGGAAGGGTAAGAAGTTATTAACACTCACCATCTACATAGTATATTCTCAACTGGAATAAGATTGGAGAGTATACCTCATTCCCCCCTCTCCCCTGAATATGCAGAGCGTGTACTTTTAAACACTTTTTATGTCAATTAAAACAAAAGTACTTTTATGAATGTTGATACTATGCGCCCACTCTAAGAAGTTGGTAAGTTTGTTAGGAAATTACATTCATTTTTACAGTATTAACATTAATGTACTTTAATACTTGTAACGCATAAATTAATTCAGTAAAATATACATACAGTTTAAATAGGAATCTATATAAATATAATAGTACTATCTGTTGTTTGTCCACGTAACTATTTCACAGGGTGTGGATGGATCTTCACCAAAATTTGTACGAAGATTCATTAGGTCTATGCGGGGGCACATACAAATTTTCACCTGCCCATGCCGGGCGTTAAAATTAGTGACAAGTATGTTCTATCTTTCTTTGGAAAAAGAATCTTTTTTTTTTTTAATGGCAAGTTATTTAAGTTTAGCGATACATCAAAATTTCCATAATAATTACAATATTGTCATAGTTGCAATTTTGTTATTATTAAAAGTAAAACCACCACAATGACTTTATAACTCACGCTTATTTTTT